CCTTGTCGTTTCTCACACGATGGCGCGAATGTTTTAACGCGCATTGAGCCCAGCACTGAGAGTGATCAGCGGTCAGTGAGCTTCGCTGTCGCCTCTCTGGTGTTGAACTGTTGCCCCAGCAGCGAGTATCTGTTGAGCAGTGACTAAGCTCTGCCAGCTTTTAGTACGTGAGTCAGTGAGTGTGAATGAGTGAGCTTTGCTGCGACGAACGGCTGCCTGCAGCGCGTAAATTCTTCTTCGGTGTCGGGTGAGCAGTGACCAAGCTTCGCTCTTTCTTTTCCAAGGGAATGAATGTTTACGGCTTTGAGCCCGGCGCTGAGAGTGGTCAGCGGTGCGAGCCCTGCCGAAGCAGTGGGTGAGAGAGCTTGGCTGTGACCCGAACTGTTGCGTGGCAGCTAGTAACTTCTTCGTCTTCGGTTGAGCGTGAGCGGTTCAGCAGTGTGCAAGCCTTGTCTGAGGCAGGGCACGAATGTTTTACGGGCTTTGAGCCCGGCACTAAAAGCGATGACTCTGCGGAGTGGGGTTTGCCATCTGGCAATGAGGTCTGCCATCTGAGCCAGTGAATGTATGAGCATTGCCCAAACTGTTGCCTGAGCAGCTGGTAAACTTTCCGGCTAGTCAGTGACGAAGCCTTGCTTTGACGTAATCCCAGCCTTCTTTTTCTGAAGGCCACAAAACGTGGTTGCGTTGCGGTGTAGGGTTTAGGATGAGTAAGTGAGCCTTGCTGTAGTCCATGTGGGCAGCCAAAACTCTTTGTTGACATCTAGCAGGTTTTTCCGAATGCACGAATGTGAGCCCGTCATATCATGCTCATTCGCTTGTGAAATGTTGAGCCTGTTGCAAGGTCGAAGCTGAGCGCCGTAGTCTTTTACGTAGAGCAACGCGCAGCATGGGAAATCTGGATCCGAAATTGTCCGCTTGCAGAAAGCTAGGACAGGCAGACTCTACTGATCCGCCGCAGTTTGATTCGAGATTGTATGCTGCAGGGTGTGAGGATACAGACGAGGGAACCTGAACGAGCCCAGAGGTGGCGGGCAAATGATTTCACCCTTAGGACAAAGCCGGTGGTATAATACTCAGCTGCCAACTGAGTTTGATTGACTCCGGCATGTCTGGGACCTTCCACCGTTCTAATAGTGTTATACTACCCAAAGGGTGTGTAAGTGGGTTCCCTTGGTTTTTGCAGCAGATGGGGTGGGTTCCCTGTGGGTTCCCTTGTTTTTTGCAGCACTTCAGGTGGGCTACATATGGGTTCCCTTGTTTTTTGCAGCATTTCGGGTGGATCTGTGTATGTTCTTCAGATAGCTTTCTTGTAGAGTCCCATGGTTTTTGCAGCGTGGACGGTGGGTTCCCTGTGGGTTCCCTAGTTTTTGCAGCATTTTTAAATGGGTTCCCATGGTTTTTAACAATATCGACGGTGGATTCCCTTGTTTTTTGCAACACTTCAGGTGGGCAACATATGGGTTCCCTTGTTTTTTGCAGCATTTCGGGTGGTCTGTGTATGTTCTTCACTTAGCTGTCTTGTAGATTCCCATGGTTTTTGCAGCATGGACGGTGGGTTCCCTGTGGGTTCCCTAGTTTTTGCAGCATTCTTAAGTGGGCTCCCATGGTTTTTCACCGGGTTCTCTGTTTGGTTCCCGGGTTTTTGCAGCATTTGAAGTGGGTTCCCATGGTTTTCCAATAGGCTCTTTTTGCTTTTGCAGCATGTCAGCTGGGTTCCCTGTGGGTTTCCTAGTTGTTTGCAGCATTTTTAATGGGTTCCCATGGTTTAACAGCATCGACGGTGGGTTCCCTGTGGGTTCCTTGCTTTTTGCAGCATCGCAAGTGGGCTCCCATGCTTTTCCCAGCATATATTGCGCAAAGGTCTGGGCGGGCTCCCTTGGCTCTTGCTGTGTGTCAGCTCGGTTCCCTGTGGGGTACATGTGGGTTCCCATGGTTTCTCCAGCTCGCGCATTATGTTTCAGAGAAGAGTGGAACTGAAGAAGATGTTCAGGACAGTGGCTGCAGGTGTGGCCCAGTTCCATCGCACATCTTGCGCTGCATTTGGATTTGCTGCTTTGAAGTAAGGCTGCAAAAAGCACGTCTGCTATCTGCAGTTTGGGTCGAGACCAAAGACGTTAAACAGGCTCACCTCTGATGCACATGAGGCTCGCCGCCCTCCTGTGGTAATGCTCTTGATAAGTTTGCTGCGGCTAAATGCTGGCACGCTGATGCGAGGATTTCGCGGCATCTACTGGCAGACTGGCAGATGTTAATCTCAGCTTGTAGCTTCAACTGTTTCGATTGCTTGCTGTACGTGGGCTGTTTTTGCGCTGGGAAGCTCCACTTGCAGGAGCTCTTTTTTCCTACAGAATCGTAGGAAGCCTCGAAGGGCCTCCCCTGGACTGGTGCTGCTCCACAAGCCGTCGCGTTGCATGGAAGCGAAGAAGGGCTCCCGGGGCTGTGATGGACGACTCCAGGGTAGCCAGAGCTGTCATCAGCTCCTTGTGATCCAGAGCCGGGGTTTGCGACTCTTCCAGCATCTGGCGTTCCTGGTTCCATCGTAGATATGGCCACTCCATGCCCTGCCCGGCATCCTTCTGGCGAAGAAGCTTTAGCTTGGCCAGTTGCTCCAAGTCCTCCGGCTGCTCGAGGTTGGTGGTGATTTGCTTCGTCCATTGGCGAAGCAGGCCCAGGAACAGAACAAGCCTGAGAGAGGAGTCCACCTCCCTTTCTCCTTCTTCTCCTTCTAGAGGACCGCCATCTTGAACATGAGGCCCAGCATGTTCACCATGTTGGAGTCTGCCTCGATCGTGGGCGGCTCGAAAGTAAAAAGAAAGTCGCACTCTGTGCGAGCTTGTGAGAGCTTGTCTTCGTGCCTCAGGGCCATCCTTGCCAGGAGCCTCACATGCTCCTGGAGAGCTTCCACCATTTGGCGTAACTCCTTCACCTCGCTGTGGTGGACCATTCGTCGTCCCACTTCTGTTGCTTCCAGCCCTGTCCTTGCCGGCGCTGCAGCTGCTGGTCCTTCCATCCCCTGGGGTTTTGCCAGGAGCTTGCTGGTGGGCAGGGGTTGTTCTGCTTGTCGTCTGCCGGTCCCTTGGTAGGTGACTGCCCTTGGCCCTGCCCCTTCCCCGCTGGCTTGGAAAACTTGGTGGGTCGGATCTGTTGATCCTCCGTTCTCTTCCCCAGAGTTGGGGCTGCAGGCATATCCACATCCTCCCGTGGACGGGGCTGCATTGTCGCCATAGCCTCGCCCAAGATGTCCCGCACTTCCTCCGCCGCTAGCTGTCCCCTGGTCATGGGGTCCTGTGGTCCAAAGGTCTCCTCCTGGTGGGCCATTATGGGTTGATTCAGACCTGAGCTGTCGCAGGGCACGCCAGTAGTGTACCATAAGGCAGAGCTGATGCAGGATACGACATCTGTATCGCCCACGGGGTGTCGCTCCACAGGCTTTGCAGGGCCGAGCGTCCTTCTGCGAGGGTCAAACTGTGAGCCATAGCATCGTCCCAGTACAGCATCAAATCTGGATGTATAGCTCGCACATGTAAAATCATGGAACTTGGTGCACGTGCCATTGACCGCAAAGCACGCAATGATGCCGAAGAGTGTCTTTCATCGCACTGATGTTGAGAACGTCCTTCCACTGATTAGTGGAAAGCAAGGCTTGCACTTCAGGAGCTCAAAAGGAGCCAGGAGCGCGTTTTCTGTTGCACCTTCAGCAGTGCCCCGCAGCGAACTGCAAAGCAGGCTCGGGTTGGGGCCCCGCAGCGGACTGCAAAGCAGGCCTTTCACCCTTTGCGTCAGAATGCAACACAACACAGCTGGTAAGTATATGTACACGAAATAAATTGATGCCAGGTAGAGAGCTTTGCGTTACAATGTCGACAAATAGGCATATTGTTGGTGCAATGGTCTTGTATGCGAAGTCCATGCAATCTTTTGGCGGGTCCAGCTGAGACTACCTGAAGTCTCCATCCATGAGTCTTGGTGTGATGAGAGCGCATCCCTGGCAGCGTGTCAAAGTATTGTCCAAGTAAGGCAGGCAAAGGCTTGGGTAGCCGTGACTTCCTGAAGACCATGTCTCAAAGCTGCGAGGTGTTGCTTGAGTTCTTCTATTCGCTGTTGAAACGGTGCTACTTGGTGAGGGTGCCAGTTCGCTGTTTCAAGAGCTTCAGCAGGTAGTCTTCGGGTTGCATCAAGCCAAGTCGAAGGCCTCCGTAGGTTCCCGTGTGATATGCACCGGGCTACGTGAAATAGCTCGAACATGTTTGACCTCAAAGGTATGTAGTCTTCTCAGCCCAGCGGCGGTGAGGCCAACCGGCATGAGACCATATAAGGCCGCCGTTCGGACACACAGTGTGTAAAGCTGGAGGCGCTTACGAACAGAAAGATATCTACGAGCATGTAGAATTTTAATGAGCCGGCCTCTGGTATTACGAGCCACATCCAGTCTGTAATTCAGGGTGGTGTCCTCGAAACCGCCATAGGAGATCTGACACCAAGATAGGTCAGGCTATCCTTGATAGGTATGATCAATTGTTGATGCGGGGGGCCAAGCACAAGCCGTCGGGCATCTGGAGGTCCATGTACATGGGGTGCAAGAGTAGATTTGCCTAGCAGGCCTTTGACACCCAGGATGATACCAGACTTCCGTGGATTCACCTGCATTCCAAATCGTTGGTATACAGAAAAGATAACAGGTATGGCCTGCAGAGCTGAGCGAAGGTCTCCCAATGAATTCACTAGCCAGCTGGCATGTGTGTCATCAGCGTACAGTGTCAGATGTTGCGATACCCAGGTGTGGGACAATTCTTGACCTAGATGGTCAGCTACATAGGCTGAGTACACTACCCACAGCAAAGGAGCTAGTGCATCCTTGGCGTACTCCACGTCGCATGTTGATGTGACTGTGACGTCCACGATGATTAATGCTGTACTTGCAAACTTCATGCAGGTCTATAATTGTCCGTGCCAATGTTTCGCTGGCGCCTGCCCAAATCAATGCCTGATATAGCCGTTCACGAGGTACGATCAAAAGCTGTTGAAAGATCGATTGCAAGTTGTATACCGCCAATGGCCACTTTCTGTTTGATTTGGGCCCGACGTGTATGCACAGTGGCCTGCTGCCCTTCATGCATAGAGCGGACTTGTCTGCAGTGGGCCGTCACTCGCGAAATAGCAGTGTCTGTGCTTTTACCAGGTACATATGCAAACAGAGGCAAAGCGGCTATGGTGGAGCTGACTTCTTGTAAAAGTAATTGCTTCAGTACCTTAGCATAGGCCTTTGCACCAGTATCTTGTAGTCCTAGAGGTCGGAGGTTTTCGGGTCGTTTCCCCGATTTGTGTGGCTTGGGGATGAGTGCCAGAGTACAGTCGGCCCACAAAGACGGCGTCTCAGCCCCATTCAGACAGGTCTCGGCCTGAGGAGCAGCAATCGTGGAGATCATGTCCGAGCATGCACGTACCGCACTGGTAGGAGCGCTGCCCGGAGGTACTGCCTTGCCCATCTTGAGCGAGTCGAGGGCTTGCTGAAACATAAGCGGGCTGACCTCGTAGTGTGCTGAAGGTCGAGCTGCAGACAGTGTGCATCCAGTCTGTCGAGACAGAAACAGAGTCTCAAAATGTTCAACAATGGCCTGCTGCTCCTGTTGATAGGTGAGCATCTCGCCTTGTTTACCATGTATACGGACCTGGGCATGTCGGGTTTTGGGTGCCATTTGCCGAATAATGCGATGCAGTAGGCCATGATCACCCCGCGCAACTGCAGTCTGGGCCTGTTCCAGGTAGTTCTCGAGGACGGCTTTGCGAGCTTCTCGGCCCCTTTTGCGAAGGGCCTTATAGGCTTTCTGAAATTCCTGGTGTCGTCGCCATGCTTGAAAGCATGCCCGAAAGGAGCCTGGTGGGTGGCCAGCCGGTCTTTGCATTCGCCTCCGTGCTCTCCACATGTCCGCTACCGATGTTTGCACCTCCAACGTCTGCCAAGCCCGGAGCTGTGGTTGAGGAGGAGCTCGCGGAAAAAGCCTGCAAACCAGATCGAGTAGAATATCGTTAATTTGTTGAAGGTCAGAGGTTTGTACCGCCGCAAGTTTGGACCTGAAAGCTTCTCGTAGGGCTTCATATTGCGGAGTGCGATCTCGGACGGCAGCCGTGAGAGCCAAGTTATCATAAGATCTTTTGGGCTGAGTGGACGGCCGTGGTGAGGCCCGTTGCCAGCCTGGATGTAGAGGGAGAGTGGCCTCAACCGGGTGATGCTTGCCCCCTTGACGCCACGGACTGAGTGTGAAGCCTCGTTTGGGTAGAGCACGTCGAGCCACTGCATCTGCATGTCCCTGTCGGGTGATGATAAAGTCAATGATGGACTGATGCCTAGGACCTGTAAAGGTAGGAAGCAGACGACGTCGAGACCATGTGTTGAGTACAACCAGCTGGTTAGCTTCCAGGATGGTGGTAAATTCTGCAGCATCCGAGTAGAGCTCAGCCCTGGACAATGAGCATCCGATGTGTCCCGCGACATAAATCGGGGTGCAGTTGAAGTCGCCCAGCAGAACCAGCATGTTTCGCCTGGCCAGTTGTTGTATAGTGGCATTTAGGCTGTCCCACAGACTGTGTCGTTTGGAGAGATTGTGTCCCGCTGAGTCTGGCTGATAAGCTTGTTGATAAAAGTTCACCACATCTATGTGATATTCGGGTCGTGCGAGGCGTACATGTAGCAAACGGCCTGGTTTGATCTCCTTGTGGTGAATCTCCGCAGCACCCTGGAAGTCCTGTCGAACCAGCGTGGCTAGGCCCTGAAATCTAGAGGAGGGATCGACACTGGTTATGAAGGTCCAACCTGCCGAGGACCAGTGTGAGGACTCTTTCCCCAGACCATGGTGGATTTCCTGCAGAGCTATGATATCATACGGTGCATTAGGAAGCCAGGCCATAAGGCAATCAAACGTTGTGGCGTCAAGACCACCAACATTCAGACTGAAAGTGCGAAGCCTGGAGCGCTGCCGCGTTGTAGGCGAGGACGTGGTCTTTGCAGAGGGCCTGGTGGGCTTTGGGTGTGGATCACTATGTTGGGGCGCACGAAGAGTTCGGCCTCGATAGACGGTTGTTCCATCCTGTGAGGAACGTGCTCGACGAAGCGCTCGGGCAAAAGCTCGTTTTCGAATTCGTTGCCTGCCTGAGCATGGCGCCGGAAAAGTAGTCGTGCAAGCGGTGCTCCCACCTAAAAGTTCACCCCGAAGGGCTCCAGAAACCGGGCGGGAATCAGAATCAACCCTCGCATCTGTGCCGGCACATGCTGCTGGTATCCATGCTATCAACAGCAAAAGTAGAAGTGGTGTGCGTAAACATCGAATGCTTCCGGCACCCTGGGACTTGGGACCCAGGCGGCACTGCTTTGTAGGAGACGTGGGCGTAGTAGGAGAAGCACCTGTACCAGAGCAAACTTGACATAGAGCTTCATCATTGATGTGGGGCTGCCAGCTTGCAGGTACTCTAAGAGTGCCACCGTACCGAATGTCCGAAAGGAGGTGGTAGAAGACCTGGCAAATGTAGTAGATGCACTGCATGTACCGGTAGAGGGCAGATATACAAATCAGCAGCGGCACCTGTTTTTCCCAGTTCCACCACGCATCCATGAGAAGCGAAGGCTTTGCACAGGAGGAGGTACATTCAGTCTTTAGTGGCTGGTTCAAACCCGAGGCCATCAGCGCTAGCAGGGGTGAGAGGGCTGAAACCATCTGAACTGCTATCTTCAGGGACTGTGGCTTTGGCTGCAGCAAGGTCGTCCTCCGGTCTAGAGGATGTGTCGTAGGGGTTCTCGTCGATCTCGTCGTCCTCCGCCGGGCATTCAGACTCCGAGTTTTCATGATCCTCGCGGGGAGCTGGTAGAGCATTGGCGGCAGCATGCGTCCGTGTAGAGGCTGTCGTGGGTTTGGCTGGGCCCCTTTCCGCACGAAGCCGCCGGGCTTCTTCAGCCAGCTCTCGAATGGTGATCTCGTCGGAATCCATAGAGTCCATTCCGCTTGGGGGTGAGTCATCTGCAAGGGTTGCAGCATCATCAGCAGCATAGTGGACAGGCACCGGAGGAGGCGGACCACTAGGCGGTGCATCAGGCGGAGAAGGTTCCGGCTGCAAATACCGTGGTCTATGCAGGAGCCGAGTCCTCGGACTTCTCGAGCGAGGTGGCTCTGATTCACCTTCGTCCGGCCTTTTGGGCCCCGGCATTGGTAGCAGAGAAAGGTAATTATCTGCCAGAGTGGGGCTGCAGTCAAACAAGCTGTGCGAACAAGCGGCTGCAAGAAAAGTTGGATTCGGCTGCAGAGCAAAGCTTCAAACAGAAAAGTGCATAGCAGACCGGCAAGTCTCGCCAGGAGGGCCGGATCTGTACCAGGTGGTACTCGCAGGCTTCGAAGCATCAATCGTCGGGCCCCTTCTAAGGCTCGCAAGATATACTCCAACCTCAGAGGAGCACCTGAATTAATCCATGTTAGCAAGATCATCAATCTTTCCAATCTGTGCTGCGTACGCGCATTCAACCATGCAGTGGGCAAACTCTTCATTGAGAAAGTAGGTATTGGAAATAAGCCGAACACGTTGATTAGGTTGTAACAGTGTCCAGCAATCCATCCAGATACTGAAAGGAGCTTCCCAAAGCCAGCTGCTTCCATACAGGTTTTGCAATGATTGCTTGGCTGAGGGCGGGAGCTCTCTCCACTTCTCACACAGCAGTTCCATAGCAAGGTCAGAAATGCATTTATGCAGCAGATCTTGGTGCCTCCACCAGGCCGTTTTCGAAATCTTGTTGTGCCCTCGCGGCGGGCACAAATCCATAGCAGTAGCTGCAGCCATGGGGGCATGTGCCCAAGTCCCTGAACGAAGAGCAAAGCCGAACCCCAAACACCAACCACACCGTCCGAGAAGCCAGCAATCCTACACCGGCCCTTGTCGCCGTCAGCTATCCTTTGGATGAGCCGAGATGCTTCTTGGTGTGGGCTTGCTGTGTAGCTAAGAATTGGAAGCAACGTAGTAGAGTCGCCCTCACAAGAGGGTGTATAAGGGAGATTGTGGCAACAGTCATCCTCCTTTGAGTGCTATGCTTGTGGCTGGCTGCGGCACATAGCCGGGGACGACCATTATAGTTGCTTCATTCTCAGCTACTGGGGCAAGCTTGATCAACGCGGTGTGTGTACGCGATTTGGCATCGAGGCCATCAGGCAGCCAAGCAATAGGTGTCAGTGTTGCAGGCTGTTGAGCAGGCCATTCGACATCATAAACACAAACTCCAGAGGGCTGGCCAGTGCAGCCATTGAGCAATGTAAAAATGATATTGAGCACCTCATGCTCAATGTGGACGGAGTCAATTTCCCGAGACCATAATTCCTCAGTAATGAAAGCATTACCCAATAATGGAATCAATATGAGAATTATGGCCTGGACAAGATGGAAGTGGCCTAATACTGAAAGAGGACCTCCAGATACGCTCAGCGCATAAGCGGCTTCGAATGTCGAACAATTAAAAAGGAGGACAGCTGCATAGTCAATTTGAAGATATGCGGTAAGAACCTCAAAGTCACCGGTAGGTAACTTGAGGTGTGGGAAGACAGGGGAATTGAGGAGGGGCAACACCTTGTCGGTGATAGCCCCTTGGCTGACCTCAGCTTGGAACCAGAGGGCACCAGTTAAGCTAGGCGGAATGGCAACGAAGCATACCGTGTGAACATGGGCAGTCTCAGATTTAAAGGCCCAAGAAGCGAGCTTATCATCAATAAGATGAAGGAAAATGATAAGTCGACCTTCAAGGGCGCTCGGGAAGGATTTTAGGATGAAGCAAATGTACCTGGCATATAAGTCCTCAAGATTACGTGCCTTGGTGCCGCAAAATTCAACAACGGATATTTTCCGAAGGGTACTGCACCTGGAGAATGCGAGAGGATCTGCGATGTGGTAACATATGCAACAGTGCTGAGTGGGGTCCCAAAGGACTGGGAAAGATTCCGGAGCGTGACATCAAAGTTGCCCTAAAAGTTGCGATGTGGCCTCAGGTGGCTCGTGGATGAAATCAGAGCCACTTCCTCCCAATCTAGTGGTGAATAGAGGCACCCAATCGACACTTGCAAAGGGCTTGTGACGGACGGTTGGCTTGCTAACCCTTAAATTTTCTACTCCATGCCAGTAGGAGGGCGCTAAGATATCGTCGCCTAAGGGCGTGAGGTTGAATATCACGCTTCCATTCTTGTGCCCGTTCATGAGAGACCTGCCGTTGGATAACAGCAGAATCGATGAGTTCATGAACAGACTTTTTCAAGGCCTCATAGTGCGTACGCAGTTCGCTAGGTGACGGTACTGCAGTTAAGGTAGACAGCTTGCAGGATCGGTAACAACGAACCTGCGCACGGTTGCGAAATACTATCGCTACTGACTATCGACGGGCTTCTGGCTTTGTCGAACGAACACGCTCTGCCAAAGAGCTCTTGCGGAATGGCCCCCTGTGCTCTGCACCTTATGCTGTCATCTCTTTGTTTGATGGAGCCTGCACGGCAGTCGATATCATTCGTCTGCCACAAGCAGCATCCCAGTGCTCTAATAGCTGTCGAACAAAGCGATCACATACGAGCATTAGTTTCGACCCTACATCACTTTGACGTTCAAGGCGACTGGCAAGAGTGTGGAGGTGGCTCCCTGTCGCCTACCTAAAAGACGTTGCTGACATCCTTGATAACTCTTGTAAAAAAATCAAGGAAATGCTTCTCCTGTGTGAAGCAACGCTCGGGTGCATCTATGTCGTTGCTGGCTCCCCGTGTCCTGACCTATCCTTCGCTCGTTATAGCAAAGGGCACCTTGGACTCACGGGATCGAGGAGCTCGGCGTTTTACTACGTCTGGGCAACAGCTTGTGCGCTACAGCTCCTCCTTCCTCCTGCAATCGCCATCCAACCCATCCTTGAGAACGCAGGTTCTATGAAGCCTATCTTCCACCGGCACATCTCATTATGTCTTGGCCTTCCGGCCAGTGCACTCTGTATTGCAGATGCTGCGGATTTCGGCAAGATTGCCTCCAGAAAGCGAGCTTTTTTCTCACGAGCCATTCAACCTGTTACGAGCCACCTCCCTTTGTGAGGCCAAGAGGAGAAATTCAAGATGGAGCTCCGCGATTGACAACTGCTCTGTACCATCCTCGCTTTTTGTTTATCAGATCTCCTATTTCGGGAGTTGTGCCAACTTCGAAGCCGCTTGCTGCAATCCAGCTGCATCTAAGCAACGTTACCCAGTTGTTCCCTGGGAGGATTTCTTTTCTGCACACCTCCTGTCAAACTGGACGACCTTTGTTACAGCTGGCAATTCTTGCAATGGTTTCATTGACCAAGAGCTCGAGAATACTCTCGAGCCACTTTTCGAGTATCTCCAAACTGCTTCGCTTCCCTTCCGCCCGATAAAGCTGCGAGATACTTGCAGACTTAGAACTTCTCGAGGCGTTCAGAGTCGTTCCACGCTCAACTTCACTGAGCCTCAATGCTTCTCTCGCTGGAAACTCCTTTGTACCCTGTCTGACTCCTCTCTCCGTGGCAGCAGCAAGAACCTCAGGCTTGAGGACTTTAGCATTGGCTGGTGCCACACCTGCAGAAGGGTTTCTCTTTCGAGACACTTCTTCGGGCCTGGAGATATCGTCGTCCGAATCGTGGACATCTTCCTCTGCCAGGGGCATCGGTGTGTCTGGGTCTTCCGGATCGTTAGCAATGTGCTTGACACTGAAGGGTTCTGTTGTTGCAGCGGAAGGAGCAGCATAACGATCAACTAAAGAACCAAAGCCGGAGGCTGACACCGCTAAGGTGGAGGAGGCTTTAGGCAGGCCAAGTTGTGCCGCAGCATTGATGTACGTTTGCTGCACTCGTCGGCTAGCGGCAGTGGCAGCTTGCACAACAATCGTCGTTACGGAGGACTGATCTCCAACCTCTTCCTGCCATTCTGCAAATGAAATGGCATCCTTGGCATAGGAAGCACACTCCTCTGGTAACTCATCACGGAAGATGAATCTTAATCCCCGCAAATTGTCATATGAATAAGCGAGTCCACAGTCAGCAAATTCAAGAGTACAATAATGCTGAAGTCGTTCGGAGTGAACGACAAGGGCTTGTACCCTGAACTTGACTTTGCTAAGGTCGTCAAGTATGAGCTCATGTCCAAGTAAGTCATAGGCAGCGTCTTTATACGCAGATGTGTGTGACTCCAAAACAAATGCGAAAGACCGCGGATAATGTAAGCCATCGGGCTTGAGCTGCATGTGACATCGATCGCAAGTACTTTGACATACTCCCGTCATCACAATCCTGTTGACTGACGACTTGGCAGCTGCGTTGAAGTTGGTAAGGATGTCTTCATGTGCCTCTAGGTCAGTCAGTAGGACAGTGTAGCAAGCATGTTTAGCAACGCGAAGAGCCGCAGTTGCATTCATGCGGTGTACACACGCACACTCAGACTTAATCCTCAGCGCCAAGTTAGTCTGCGATACACCCTGGAGAGAGGGAAGCGCATTTGCGATTGTATCGTTGACTGAGTGTAGGCTCGCAGGATTGCTTGAGTGATAAGAGAAAAGAGCATTTATGAATCCCTCCCTGAGCTCCTTGCTCCAGTCTCGAGTCACAAGCCCAGCTCCAGTAGCAATAAAGGCGCTTTGGATGCTACTGGACGTGCTAGTTAGCTCTTCCTTAGATAGCCTGTTAAAAGCCATAACACGGAAGGCACATGTCAAATGGCAAACAATAGATTCAAGTCTAGCCGCAACTTGATGTCGAAGGGCAGCTTCAGTAACCCTGACTGCCAAAGGTTGTGGAGGGGGCGGAGGGACAATGCGCGGTGTTCCACTTGCTTTATGTGCGGTCTGTTTTGCACTCGGCTTGTCGACCTGTTTGGATGGTTCAGCTCGAGCGTGCGGATGACGAGCTGGCCTGCGGCATTCGCAAGGATGGCAGCCGAAGCAGGCTGTCCCTCCTGCTGCCCCTCATCAATCACCCTCGCTGTAGG